CCTCAGTGGCCTGCCCTCCTGCCAGTCAGCCTTCCTGCCAGGCCTCGTTCCTTGACCAGGGGTTCAGATGACAGTCCACAGGAAGGGACATGCACCAATTTCAGAGCAAGGTGAGCCTATATTTGGTTTTGCTTTGCTTTTCCAGGCTTGGGTTTGGGATCACAACAGATGGACAGAACCACAGAGATGGTGGCAAGTGTGAGGCTCCAGTAAGAATGCTGAGGACTGGGCCAAAGAGCAGGGACAGAATGTTCTTCGGTCACTGCAGGTCCTGCCACACGGCCTTAAGCACTAAAAGCAACAGGAGCCAGTGCTGTAGAGGTCTGAGGGTTAATATCGATGAGCTGGAAACTGGCTAGGATTCATATAGAAATGGGACCTCAGGAGGAGCAGACAAGGAAACAGAAAGAGGCACAAGTCTCTGGATCGGATGATCCACTTGATGAAATGGGCAACACTGGTGAAGACACTGAGGGATATGGGACGCTGGCAGTCCAGGCCCCAACTGGCCAACCCCAGAAGAACCCAACTCTTGGAGAAGTCAAAGACCAGAAGGCCTCCAGAATCACCCTAAAAAAAGAGAGGGCCATCAGTGTGGACAATTGAGGTGGGGCTCAGAATTCTAATTATAAGGGCAGGTTATTGGGCACGGCTGTTTGGGTGTATTCAGTGGTCCCTTGGAATGATCCTGATGCCAGTGTCCTGATATAGTTCTAGAGTCAGGGGTTGGAACTACCATCCTGCACTAGGAAGCTCCAAATTGATCCTTGGGACAGTCACAGATGGAAATCTATCAATCATGCAGTTAAACTTGGCCACTGGCCAAGGATCTTGTACTAACTCAGCATCAGAAGTGATGGTTAATGAATAAGGGCCGAGAGACTGAGCCTGTGAGAGGCACTGGGTGTCTGAAGCCACTATAGACCCTAGGCTTTTCAGAAAGCTGATTACAGCAGTATGCACCACCTAGAATCCTTCCTCTCAGTCACTTCAGCCTCTGGGTTTCTCAAAAATGTTCAGACTCTTTGGAAAATGCTCCTACCTACGTGTGGTGGAGAAACTCTGTAATGCTGGGGCCTGAGGGGTGGGGGGCTCGTCACCACAAAGCATCCTGAAATAATCTCAGGGAAACCAGTGTGGGCAGAACCCCTCTTACTGCATCAAAGGGAAAGGTTCATCTAGGCAGGGGAGTTGGGGAGCAGGAACTATAGCTCTGAGGCTCCTCTAACCACACTGCAGACAAATGCTCCCTGAGTACCCTTGTGTGATTCCTAGTACTGGAGCTTTAAGGCACACAGGCACATACAGAGAAGACCAGAGACCTCTCTCAGATTGACACGTGCAATCAAATCTCATAAGAGATGGGAGCTGTCTAAAAGGGAGGGGCGTTGCTCATGGCTGCCGGAAGAAGGCTTTGCTGAGCTGGGATTCCAAGCAAGAAACTAAAAATGACCTTGTGATCCTGGAGTCAAGGGAGCAGAGGGTACAAAGAGGAGGGTCCAGTGTGGTAGGAAAAGCAGAAGCATTGTGGGGAGCAAGGAAGGCAGTTAGGGATCATACTGGTCAGCCAACCATGGAGAAGTAGATCTGCAGCCGGGCGGGTCTTGAAGTACTATGAAGAAAAGACAGCACTGACTGTGAATTCAACAGAGGGGCTACAAGAGAATGTCAGACATCATAGATGGAGGAAGAGTTCCAAAGACCTGAGATTTGGGAGAATATTTACAGAAAGGCACTATGAGATCTGTGGGTTCTAACCATTCTCACCAGGGGAAGATAAAGTCAGGTCCTGGGGTCTTGTGATCCAGTTGTTAGCAGGGAGGGAGCAGGAGAAGAGCAGAGAAGGCCAGTGGCCAATCCTATGACCAGGAAACAGGGCCAACAGCCCTCCCTTATATTGGCGAGAAGAGTTGGGGACTCTTGCGGCCTGGGCAAGATCACAGCTGCCAAGGAAACAGACCACAGAGTGATGGGGGCAGAATGGAGACACAACTGGGTGTGGGGATCGAAGAAACAAAGGGTGAGGAAGAGGAGGAGACTCGGAAAAGGTAGAGCGAGGGACGGTGGCAGCAGATCAGAAGCTAATGGTATCTTCAAAGATGTCACGCCACTGGCCAAGCAAGTGAAAACAGAGATAGACAAATGGGACGATCTTAAACTAAGAAGCTTCTTCACCTCAAAAGAAACAGTGACCAAAATACAAAGACAGTCTAACAGAATGGGAAAGAATATTCGCCGAACACACATCTGACAAGGGGTTGATATCAAGGATATACAAAATACTGGTTGAACTCCACAAAAAGAAAACATACAACCCCATCAAAAAATGGGGCAATGAAAGGAACAAAAACTTTCTCAAAGAAAAAATCTGAATGGCTAAAAGGCACATGAGAAAATGCTCTACACCATTAATCATCAGAGAGATGCAGATCAAAACAACAATGAGATATCATTTCACACTACAGAGACGGGCCCACATCCAAAACAACAAAAGCAACCGGTGCTGGTGCGGATGTGGCGAGAAAGGGACCCTCCTTCACTGCTGGTTGGAATGCCAAATGGTTCAACCCTTTTGGAAAACAGTATGGATGATTCTCAAAAAATTAGAAATTGAGCTCCCATTTGACCCAGCTGTACCATTCCTGGGAATATGTCCCAGAGAGGCAAAAACGTATAGTCGAAGTGACATCTGCACTTGTTTGTTCATTGCAGCACTCTTTACAATAGCCAGAATCTGAAAAAAACCTGAGTGCCCGAGAACAGATGACTGGTTGAAGAACCTTTGGTACATTTACACAATGGAGTACTATGTAGCTGTTGGAAAAGATGAATCATGAAATTTACATACAAGTGGTAATACATGAAAAGTATCATTTTAAGCAAAATGAGTCAGAAAGAGAGGGATAGACACAGAAAGATTGCATTCATCTGGGTAACATAAAGTAACAAAATAGGAGACTAACACCCACGAGTGGCTGAGATTAGTACCAGGAATTTTGCTCCATGACTTGGAGGCCAGCCACACGTGCTAGGGGAAAAGAAAGCTCAGATAGAGAAGGGAGCACCAAATAAAGGGTGTCAAGAGGATCCTCCCAGGATGGGAGAAGCATGCTGAAAGTAGACTATAGACCAAACACAATTGCCACTCAATGCCTCTCTGGCAAAGCACAGCACCCAAAAGGAGAGAGAGAACAAAAGGGAATGCTCTGCTACAGAGGCAGGGTGGGATGGGGGGGGGTCGGGGATGGGAGGGATACTGGGACCCGTGGTGGTGGAAAATGGGCACTGGTATAGGGATGGGTTCTTGATCATTGTATAACTGAAACCCAAGCACAAAAATTTGTAAGTCTATAACTGTTCTTCAAGGTGATTCACTAATAAAATAAATAAACAAATAAATAAAGGCAGTTAGGGGCTGGAAGGCATTTGTCTTTCACGCGGCTGACCCACATTCGATAAACAGCATCCCATATGGTCCACCGAGCATCGCCAGGAATAATTCCTGAATGCAGAGCCAGGAGCAACCCCCTGAGCATTGCTGGGTGTGACCCAAAAAGAAAAAGAAAGTAAGAAAGAAAGAAAAAAGACAGACAGACGAAAGAAATAAAGAAAGAAAGAAAGAAAGAAAGAAAGAAAGAAAGTAGGGAAAATTCAAAATGATGGTGTTGGGTAGGTGCATTGAGGTGGGATTGGTGTTGGAATATTTAATGTAATAAATTATTGTGAACAACTTTATAAAAATAAAAAAATTTTAAAAGGCAAATAAATATTTCCTTTTCCCTAATCAGTATGCCATCAACATTTCACTAAACTATAAATATACTTCTCTGAACAAGTTCATGTTTATACTCAATATTTATATTTCTAATTTAACTAAAAACCTCCACAAAGTTTTGCCCTGTATTCACCCTATATCTCCATTCACCTAACAAATCCAAAAGGCAGATAGGAGACACAGGTTAGGAGAAGAACAAAACTGAGGTGATCCAGCTGAGATAATTTCAGGCCATGATCGTTCTTCCCCGAGGTTCTTCAAGAGCTTTTTTCTTACTTTTACGTGTTCCTTCTGGAGCGACAGCACAGAGGTAGGGTGTTTGCCTTGCACGCAGCCAACATGGCCGACCCGAGTTCAATTCCTCCACCCTTCTCGGAGAGCCCGGCAAGCTACGGAGAGTATCTCACCCGCACGGCAGAGCCTGGCAAGCTCCCCGTGACGTATTTGATATGCCAAACACAGTAACAACAAAGTCTCCAATGGAGACGTTACTGGGCCCGCATGAGCAAATCGACGAACAACGGGAGGGCCTTTACTTTACTTTACGTGTTCCTTCCATGGCCATGGAAAAATTAAGGTATTTCACAGTAGAAAGAGAAACACTCAGGCAAATTCATTTCACAAAGTCATGTCTGATCTACATCAAATTGAAATATTAGAACCAAGGGGCTAGAAGATAACAGAAGTGTGAAATACGTGCTTCTCACAAAATCATTGCCAGTCATATCTCTGGCATGACATGTTCCCTGAGCATCAAGATAAAGCCTTACAGGCCCTTGAGCACAACCAGATGTGGCCCAGAGGTTTCCCAAGCATCAGTGGGGTGGCCTGCAGGACCTAACAACACTGCATCCTCAAACTGAGCAGGTAGGCCACACATCACTGAGAGGAGGTCTCAGGCCACCTAAACAGCATTTTTGAGAAACCCTAAATCAATTAATTTATCAGTTAAATTTGGACACCCAAACCAGAGAAACTTTGAGATCCAGATTCCTGACTCCAAAAACCAAAGGACCCCAGAATGTCAGTGTCTTCAACTTGAGTAACTTTGAAGCTTTGAGAAGGACACATTTTTCACAAGAGGAACTAGAGACTCCAACTCTCTGAAAATGAGGCACAGAGGGACAAGGTCCACTGGCCTCCATGCTAATTAGAGATTTTGATGAGCTAGAATCCCATTCCCCATCTCCCACCCACACCCACACCATAGCCACTCACTGTTCTCGGTGAGCTTTCCCCAGCCAGTTATCCAACAAGATGTGCCAAGGGGCAGCTCCATGCCAGTGGTTGGAAGGCAGACAGGAATGATATAGGAGCTGAAGTTCACAGGTTGGTGCAGTTGTAACACCGTTGCAAAATGGTGGAGCTTCTTAAAGTCTGGATGGATGATAATGCAGCTCACAGTCACTCTCCTGGTGTATTGGGTGTCCTGGTAGAGCTGCGTACTTCCCTCAAACACCCAGTAATCTTCAGGGGCATGAGACTTCCTGCAGGAGGGAAAGTGACAGTCATTATCTTCTGTATATGGCAGCTTGTGCCTCGACACCATCATCTGACACCCAGCACTGCCTTGTCTGCACCACCCCACATGACTCTCCCTTTCTGTCAGCCCTTCTCTCTGGAGACCAGCGGCGGTTTTAAACAGAACTCAGCACACACCCATTACTGGAGGAAGGGATCACAGAGGGTTGGAGGCCCCCATGAAGCTAGACAATCCTGACCTTCCTTGGGCACATGCAGAGAGCCCTGACTCCGTCTTGGCTCTTGACCCGCCTTATGACCAAACTGCTCTAGCATCACTCCTTTCTCTCACTTCCTTCTATTTTATTTTTATTTTAATTTTTATTTGATTTTTGGGTCACACCCGGCAATGCATAGGGATTACCCCAGGCTCTGCACTCAGGAATTACTCCGGGCGGTGCTCAGGGGACCATATGGGATGTTGGGGATCGAACCCGGATTGGCCACGTGTAAGGCAAACTCCCTACCCACTGTGCTATCGCTCCCGCCCCTCACTTCCTTCTTGGTACTCACCTGATCTAAAACTGCACAAAATCATTGGTCAATGGGAGACCATGTGTGCAGGATGTCCTGTGTTCTGACCATGAGGGAGGAAACATCCCACTTTCCACTCCACCACCTGGAAATTCCTCCCCACACAGTCGGTGACCAAACTCTGGCTTCCACAAGCTGACCTATGTCCACAGGAGCCTACCCATCTGACTTCCACACTCCAGTGGTGTCAGCCCTGCTCATCCACAGGGGGAACTTTGGCTCTGAGTAAATGGAGACACAGTGAGGTGGGTCAAGCCAACCTAATCCATAGTGAGTCTCAAGTGGGACACAGCACAGAGCAGATGCTTGTGGTTCTCTATGTACCGAAGATCCAGCTCCTGGTTACTGCCCCTCCCAAACCTATAGGAATACTCAACCAGACCCAGGACAGAGAGCAGCTCTGTTCTTCTTCAAGGTCACGGACTCCATATCTAGTGTTCATGCAGCTGGCCAATAGACATGTGGTGAGCAGAGACCCCAGGCCAGAGACATGCCGAACACCAGAATCTGCCCCTGCATCCCAGGTTCCAGCCTCTCTCTGCCAACCAGGAGTGCAGGGACATTGAGGGAAGCCCTGGTGTGAGGTGACAAAGAGCCAGCTCTCATTGCACCTGGGAGGTAGGATGAACACTGCCATCTCGGGGGCATACCTGTGTCGGGGGAAGGCACAGGGATGAGGATGGAACATGAGCAAAGTCAGGTGAGGAGTGAGGACAATACAGGAGAGGACAGGTCACAGGCAGAAAGACTTGGACTAGAAGGACACAGATTGTCCCAGCACCCAGCCTTGAGGATGCGGGGGCTCTAATCTTTTAACCCTCTCCCCTGCCAGCCCAGCTGCAAGGACCCAAGAAACAACTCACTTTGTAAAGCAGTGGGCGGTAGAGAACACCCAGTGGGAATCAATGAGCACAGCTCCACAGGGATGAATGCCCCGGTACTGCAGGCTGGCCTGCCATGGCCACTGGCCCTCCACGGCCTCCTGGCCACCAGTGATCATCCCTACGCCCCTGGGCTTCCCGCACACTGTGGAGACCAGCCCGATGCCGTGTGGGAGACAGGGAGTTCCCCGTTTCCTCTCCGGTAGACCCTTGACCACTTCTCGGTGGGAAAGCCAGGAGCAGGGCTCAACCAGCCCCAGAGCCACAGGGCAGCTTGGTGTCTGATGTCCCTGCCCGCTGCCTGGGCAGCAGGAACCTGGACAGCAGAGCGCACGTGAGCAAGCCCGTGGGATGACGCGGAAGGGATGTGGTGGCCACAGCTGGTTCCAGCCGCATCCTGGCGACCCCATGCCCACAGCGCCCCCACCCCACTCCCACCCCGGGCCCAGACACCAGCTTTGTGTGCGGGGCTGTCCTCGTATCTCGCCTCCACCTCCCTGCTGTCTCGGGAGGGGCGGTGGTGGGCCGTGGGGCCTGGACAGAGTGGGCGGGGTGTCCCAACGCGTGGACGCAGTGGCTGGCTGCCTGTACGAAGACTGGGGAACACCGCGAGGAACAAACAGGCTGGGCCCGTCCACTTTAGGCTGTTCCCTGCCCAAGGCCATCTGCTCCCCTGCGCCAGGGCGCCCCAGGCACCTCCTGGGCCCGAGGACTTTGGGGGCGGGACTTCCTGCCAGGGGCTTCCTGGTTTCATGCCAGGGCCAGAGTGGCCCCGCCTCTCTGTCCTCTGACCCCACCCTGACACTGCCCCCTGACCCTAAGACACACCTGACCTCTCTAATCCCATCCTCCTCGTTGGACGCAGCTCTCTCCTGAGCCCTCCTTGACCTCGGACCTGCCCCTGCAATGTCCCTGCTCTGGCCCCGCCCTGACCCCGCTCTAATCCCCTCGGACCCGAGCTCTCACACCCCACCTTGGTCACATTCTGACCAGATCAGGCCCTGGAGAGTTGGAGCAGGGTCCACGGAGCAGCTGAGTGCTTCTGCTCACTCAAGGGAGGGACCTCGGAACTCCAGGTGGCTTTTGGAAGAGATCTGGGCTGGAGAGGTCGAGCTCCGAGTTGAGTAGGGGCCTCAGGCGCAGCTGGAGCTGCGGGATGGATCCATCCTGAGATGAGAACGTTGGAGCAGAACGGGAGACCCAAGGAGCGAGCCGAGAGGAGGGACCCAGGGAGGCAGGATTGTACGGGGATGCTTCAACCCAGGAAGGGCAAGCCACACCGCTAGATAAGGGATACGCTTCTCAGCTTGTTACAGAGTTCAACTGAGATAGAATTCGTGTCATAAAATTCACCCATTAGAAGGGACCATTCCATAATTCTCAGTATCATTTAGAATTTTTCAGTAATGACTTTCATTGGAAATAATCTGAAAGATCCTTAGTGAGTGAATCATCAGGGAAAACAATATAATCCGTTATAACAAATACTAAAGTCCAATATAAGAAACATTGATTCTATAACTGGATGTCAAGTCGATTTTGCTCAGTCATTTAGTCAGTAGTCATTTCTATAACATTTCATTTTCATAGCATGTAGAGTCCCGTTTGGAGAATATCATTGTCAATAAGACGAAGTTATAAAGATGGAAAACTGTGGCATGGTGATCACTTACCATGAAAACCATCTTACTCAAAATATGAGATTTAAATATTGATGTTAAGTTTATTCATTTTTAAGCTTATTAATCTGGTGTTTTCTATCATCGCTAAGAATTTTACTTTTGCACCTTTGTCAAAACCAATTTTGTTTTTCTGTATGTGTCTGGGATTGGCAGAAATTTCTTATAAATTGCTAAGTCTGGAAATTAGATTCTTCCTCCTGGTTTTCTTGGCTTACTGTAGTATTTTTTTCCTCCCCTTTTGAAATCTACAATAATATATATGCTGATTTGGACATTTTTCCAATTCGTTGTTGATTTTCTGTCGCAAAGCCTATTCCTTGTCGTGTGTAGTCAGTGATGTTTCTGTTCTTTACTTCATGTCCTCCCTGTATCCATCTGAGCTCTCAGCTCCCTGAGACCCATTATAACACTAGTGAACAAGAGACAAGAAAACAAAATTCACATTTTCCTCTGCTGTGAAATGTCTCTTCTGTCAGATGAACCTACAGGAGGGATCAGAGGCAGCTGATGTCAGAAAGACCCTGTCTTTCATCTTCTCTGCTGAAACCTATGTTAAAACGCAAAGAAGTGGGGCTGGAGCAATAGCACTGCAGGTAGGGCGTTTGCCTTACACGTGGCTGACCCGGGTTCGATTCCCAGCATTCCATATGGTTCTCTGAGTAGCGCCAGAAGTAATTCCTGAGTGCATGAGCCAAGAGTAAACCCTGTGCATCGCTGGGTGTGACCCAAAAAGAAAAAAAGAAAAAAGCAAAGAAGAGCCAGAGATAGGTACAGAGGTAAAGGCTTGCATGTGACTAAATCGTGCTTTGATCCAGGAAACATTTATGGTCCTCTGAGCACTGCCAGAAATGATTTCTGAGCACAGAACCTAGAGTAGGCCCTGAGCACCACTGGGAGTGTTCCAAAAGCCAAATGGGAAGAGAAAAAAATAACAAAAAAAGTAAAGAAAGAATATCTCAAAATTTACAGTCAAAGGCCCTTACTTTGTCATTTATGAGTTCCTAGAAAAAGAAGAATGCCTGAGATCGAATTTCTTTCTGCATCACATCCACCAGACACTTTAGGAATGAGATTCAAATAATTTGGGCTCCTATGTCATTTTAATTTTTGTTCATTTATAATCAAGGTCCTATCATTTCCTTCTGCTAATTTTTTCTTTCCGTCTCCATATTCTTCACATGTGACCTCAAATTGATTATTTGAATCTTTCTTACTTTTTCTTTTCTTTTTTTAAAAGTAGGCCTGTATCGCTTTGATCTTCCCTCATTCCCATCACTTTCTTTGCTGCATATCCTAGTTTATTTTTACTTTGTCTCCTGTTAATGTTCATACATCTTATTTATTTCCTTATTGTTTCAAGAGCTATTCAGAAGAATCTTGTTCTGCTTCTGTTTAGTGTGATTCTTACTGTTTGCTTTTGGGTTGATTTTTTTTCCTTCATAACTTTGTAATGGGAAAAGATGCTTAATTTCACTTAAATGTTTATATTATTATTGATACTTTTGTAGAGATCTATGACTGAGTTGAACTGGACAACGATCCACATGCACTGAGAAAAATGTGAGTGTTTCCTCATAGGTTCGTTCATTCTCTTGAAGCCTTGCTAGATTGTGATTTCTAAATCGCCTCTTTTTCCAATACCAGAAGGTGTCGCTGTGACCTTACTTCTGGGTTTCTTTTGGGTCCTGTTGGAGGAGGGGAAAGGCAAGCCAGAGACAACTTCCCTTAGCCATCCACAGCCCTGGGCACATGGACTATTCACCTACTCTCACAGAGAAGCACGTGTGAACACACATGGATTCATGCACACACCTGACATAAAGACACACACACTTCCACCTCTAGGTACGTGTACATGTATCTGCACATGTCCGCGCAGAGCCCACACAGTACACACAGATGTTGACACCCAGAGATGTTCACACATCGATCAAACTCAGAAATGCACAAACAAGGGCCAATGTTTGTACACAGAGACACAAATGCACACATGCACACATGCACACAAACACAAGTAGAAATATTCAAGAACAGGTGTGCATACACACACAGAGCTCAAAGCAAAGATCACATGTCACTGCCAAGTCCTGACAGAAGCAGCCCTGCACTTTCCCACCCCACAGTAGCGCCCAAACCCCCACCTTGGTGACAAAGGCCTCCTGGGAGCACAGCTCTTCCACGTAGCTCAGGAGCACCGGCTCAGGGCAGTTCCCAGCTTTCTCGTGCTGCTACTTCCTATCCGATGCCCGTCGGCCGAGATGGCCAACCTGGGTTCCATCTCAGTCATCCCAGATGGTACCTTGAGCACGGCCAGAGTAATTCCTGAGTGTGAAGGAATTACTGAGCACAGCCAGTGTGGTTTAAATCCAAAACAAAAGAATCTCAAAATAAAACAGCAATAAAACAGCAGGAGCAAACAAAGCTCTACTACCTTGTGGACATTTTCTTATGATGCAAAAGCAAAAGTGTTTAGTTATTGAAAACTTTAGCCCTTGAACGTGAAGAAAGTCAGGTCAGTTGTAAATGGGGAAAATGGGAAGCTGTAACATATGTGAAAATACATACATAGAAAAGTTTCACCTTTGTTTCCCAAAACGGTTTGGAACCAACAATTAGGTTCCATCACTATTCCCTCATCAATAAATGAAACAGTATTCTTGACTTAAAATAATGAAAATAATCCTAATCTGACATCCAATTGTTGTGCAATTGGTAGCAGGGTTCGCAGGAGATGCAAGAATTAAGCAAATATCAACAAAGACATGTAAGGTTCAGTTGAACTTACAAAATTGACAGTGAAACTATGTTTTTGTATATTTTAATGCCTTAAAATATTTAAAATGTGCACTCATCATCTGTAATATTTTTGGACACAGACACTTCATTTATAGAGAACAGGTAGAGGTGTTCCAGCCATTGTCAGCTCACAAGTACATGGGTGTAATGATGCAATCCCAGATCTGTTTGAGTTTAAACACCATGATTACCAATTCGAAGAAAGCAGTAGGAGGGCCAGATGACAAGACATGGATTTCAGGTTGTTTACTTAAGGAAGCAGCCAGTGAGATTTTGGGTCCAGCAGGGCAAGCTACGCATGGTGACACATGAAATATGAGGAACCTGTGGTGGTGGTGGTGCTGGTATCACGACTAAACTAATTCAGTATCCTTCATTCCACGAAGAATTTGTTAGGATGATAAATATCTGCTGTTGAAAGGGCAGAGCAAAGAGCAATTGGAAAGAAACTTGAGAAATCCCAGGGGGAAGAAAGACGGTATACGGGGCAGACAAGGCACCAGCTCACTGAGTGTGTCTACTCTCTCCTGGGAGTAGCCAGTCATGGAAGCTTTTATGGATTCTTCTCCAGGACACAGAATGAGGGGTGTCCTTCAATTTCCCCACTAGCAGTTTCGGGAGTTTAAGTTGCTTTGTGTAGCTGAGGAGTGAAGGTCCAGTGTTGGTGTGTTTGAAAAATTAGGCACATGTGTAGTGTTCATGGGATGTAGTTTTCAGCATGTTATACGTGCATCGCACAACTAAGGGCATATATGTTGTCATCAGTAACTCTCGACCTGGGTGCCTTTCCCCACCATTGTCCTCAGATCACTTTCAGTCTGCTTCCTTGACTGAGGTTTTCTTAGTGTAATCAAAAATCAAGACTTTCTCTTCATTCAGGATTTTTCAACTACCTTCTTTTGTTTAAATAGCACGCTGAGATCATACAATATTTGTCCTTTCTCTGAATTATTTTGCTTGTCAGGATGCCCTCCATCCATCCATCCATCCATCCATCCATCCATCCATCCATCCAAATTGCAGGAGTCTGCAAGATTTTACCTTTTCTTGTAGCTGAGTAGTGTTCTCTTGTGTGTGTTTATACTACAACTTTATCTGTTTGTGTGTCCATTTGGGGGTTTCCTGAGTATTGTACTTAGCACTGCAGTGAATATAGGAGTGCATATATCCTTTTGATTTTTCTATTAAGGGGTTTTGGAGGTAACATGCAAATGTGAAATCACTAGGTCTTTTGGAACCTATATTCTTGCTCCACTACCCAACTGCTGCCACACTCCAGGTCGCTTTCCACACGCTTGGGCCAAGCCTCACATATGAGCGAACATATTTCTGGACAACACATCATAAGACACTCCCATATGTTTATATATATATATACATATATGACATATATATGTATATATATATATATATATACACATTTCCACGAAGCCAACATGGCCAACCCAAGTTTAATTCCTCCACCCCTCTCGGAGAGCCCGACAAGCTACCCAGAGTATCTCGCCCTCACGCCAAAGCCTGGGAAGCTCCCCATGGCGTATTCGATATGCCAAACACAGTAACAACAAGTCTCACGATGGAGACGTTACTGGGCCTGCTCGAGCAAATCGATGAACAATGGGAGGACGGTGACATATATATTTATATATATATATATATATATATACACACACACATATATATATTATATCTCAGAGAGTCCGGCAATCTACCGACAGTATCCTAGTCTCCTGCCCACACTGCAGAGCCTGGCAAACTACTCATGGTTTATTCGATATGCTAAAATCAGTAAAAATAATGAGTCTCATTCCCCTGACCCTGAAAGAGCCTCCAATCGTTGGGAAAGACGAGTAAGGGAAGGCTGCTAAAATCTCAGGGCTGGGATGAATGGAGACGTTTTTCATATATATATATGTATGTATATATATACTCACACACATATACGTATATATCAGTTATATTTAGTTATACATAGCTAAAAATATATGTCTTTCTGACTCATGTGACTTGAAATTCATTGCTTTTTAATTTTTGCTTTGCATTTCTTAGATAACAAGTGACTAGTAATATCTTTTCAGATGTCTGCTGGCTTTACTTAGCCATTTTGGGAAAATGGATACTCATCTCCAGTTTTTTTTTATATTTATTTATTTTTTAATAGTGAGGCACCATGAGGTACAGTTGTAGACTTACACATTTTTGTGCTTGGGTTTCGATTATACAATGCTCAAACACCCATCTCTCCACCAGTGCTCATTTCCCACCACCACGGATACCAGCATTGGGATTCATTGATTTTTAATTTTTGCTTTGCATTTTCTTAGATAACAAGTGACTAGTAATATCTTTTCAGATGTCTGCTGGCTTTAGTTAGCCATTTTGGGAAAATGGATACTCATCTCCAGTTTTATGTAATTGTTGAGTGTTTCTAGTTGAGCTTTATAACACTTTATGTATATATAATATTTAACCCTTTACCAAAAGCATGGCTTTCAAATGTTTTCTCCCATTTCATAGGAAGTGTTTTAATTTTAAGAAAGTCTGATTTTGATTTTAAGGAAGTCTGATTTTTTTGGCATGCATAAGCTTTCAGATGTAGGCCCATTTGTTTATTTCTGGTTTTATCTTATGTATTTTTTTCCTGAGTCAATCCTGTTTAGATTTGTTGGTGTACCATTGTTCACAGTAGCTGTATTCTTCTTTGTATTTTAATGTTGGTTTAAATGTTCACTTTTCAAGTTTTATCATTTTAGGCTATTTATTTATTTTTCTTCTCAATTTTGTTTATTATTCCAGAACCAACTGGTAGATTGGCTAATTTTCCCTTTCATTTGAGAATTTTCTTATATTTCTTTTTTTAAATTTTATTTTTATAAAGTAGTTCACAATATTTGATTACATTTAATATTTGATCACCAATCCCAACACCATTACACCTTCCCACTACCATATTTCGGATGTTTTCACCCCAAACCCCAACCCCTGCCCCAAAGCAGAACCAAAATAATTTATTTTGTGTTGTTTGTATGAATAAACCGCTGAAAATGCTCCAAAAAAGTTTCCTTAGAGAAAAGTGTGTGACAATTGTTGTATTTCACCCAGGACCCACTAAGTCCTTCTATAAGACATTATGAGATTATGAGCATGTTGTTAAAGGTTGAACCTTGTGTGTGTGTGTATGTGTATATATATATATATTTATATATATATTTGATTTTTAATTTTAATATATATATATATATATATGGCTGGAGCGATAGCACAGCAGTAGGGTGTTTGTTTGCATGCGGCCCACCCGACCGTCCCGAGTTAAATTTCTGCATCCCTCTCGGATAGCCCAGCAAGCTACCGAGAGTATCTCGCCTGCACAGCAAAGCCTAGCAAGCTACCCATGACGTATTAAATATGCCAAACACAGTAACAACAAGTCTCAAAATGGAGACATTACTGGGCCTGCTCAAGCAAATTGATGAACAACAGGAGGGCAGTGACAGTGAGATATATATGTATATATATATATATTCATTTATATTTATATATGTGTAAAAATATATTTCCCTCTGGGATTGGTTGCCATCTACTTTAAACCCCATCAAATGTGGTGTTCCGCTCTTGGAAGATGAGTGGTGTCAGGTATGAGATGCAGCCGCATGCTCCAGGAATAGGTTCACTCATGGGTGAGGCTCGGCCTGAGCATGTGAAGAGCGGCCGTGAGCATGGCACCTGTTGAGTTCTGGAGGTTTTTGGCCACCAGGGCTTGACGTGGGCCTTCAATACTGTGAAATTTCTCTTAACTATGCAGCATGTCACGTGTTTTAGAAAGCTGTGTTTACATTTTCATTTGTTTCATTTTTTTCCCCTCTAATTGCCATTTAACTTTCTTTCTTGTGCCATTGGCTGTTCAGAGAGTTGTTTTATTTCCATGCATATATGTAGTTCTATTTTTTCTTTATGATTAATTTCTACTTTCTTGCCATTGTGTTCACATCAGTTACTTGGCATGTTTTAGATCTTCTTAAATTTGCTAAGAAAATTTTTGTGGTCTAAAAAATTATCAGACCTAGCAAATGTTC